ACCATCCTTTAATAAACCAAATCAAATTCTTGTCACGCTGTGTAACATTAGTCGCTGGAATAATTGACGCTAATACGCGGATTCTGAGATTGACAAGATTGCGCCACCTAACGTCCACAAATCGCACTACAATTACATTGCACAGTACATTGCTGTCAACGTTGTTGCCCCTTGTTGTTTTCACTGTATAATGTTCCCATATAATAGACAGCATCGAATGGTTTTGTTTACTTACCGGCGTGACAGGCGGAACCATAGTAACCAAGATCACAGTCACATGACTTGGCGCCATATTGATCAATCATACAGCGTCCATGAACGCATGTATAACGACAGACAGCTACAAATAATAAAATAACTGTGTCAAATTTGTCAAACTCTACAACGAATTATTCTACAGCGAATATGTGAACAATACTATCAAGTTCTTGTTTATAAACAAAATACCACAACCTAGCTAGCAAAATACCACAACCTAGCTAGCAATATTGTAAGTGCCTGGAATTTATCGCCACTAGGAGAAAACATGCACATGAGAAACCATGCATTTTTGTTATATCACGTGACTACATATACTTACGTTGTGAGCATTGTGTATCATTAGGGTGAGATCGTTGCCAGCCTTCGCAACACTCCGTGTCAGGTTCCATACGGTACGCAAGGCGATACACTATCCCGTAAAGCCGCCTGCAAGACAAACAGTGTTAAAGCGAAAATCTGATGTATATGCAACTTCGAATATTTTTTTTAATGTCGTATTATTTTTTACGCTTACTCTAATTATTCATTACTCGCCGCAATAATCTAATTAATATATTTTCGATAGAAAACTAATAAAATAAAATTAAATCTCACTTAAAATATTTCGATAAATACATTACAACATCTTTAGAAACGATACTGTGATTGAAGGTGTCAAAGCCCAGTTATGACGTCACCAGGACGTAATTGTAGCTGATATGGATGTCCCTTTCTGGTATGCCACGGGCGATGGCACAAGGCCCTAGGGGAGGGTCTCTGAATAAAAGATGGTACGTAAGATGAAGTAAAAAACGCGTAAAAGGGGCGTTATTTGACGCGTATAGGGCAATAAAGTGTAAAAAAAAAGGGAATCTCATGATTTCATGTTACCTCAACTTAGAAGCAGTAGACTTTAGTATGTATATAGGTATCTATTTTAAGTTTCCGCACTTGAAAAGTGTATAATTTTACAAAAATAAACGTGTTTTGAGGCTTTTTTGAAAAACTATACTTCAGTTTGTGTACTAGGTCTGACTTGGAGTACCGCCCCTGGGCGCCGGACGCCCTCATTGTGTGGAGTCATACCTACCTGTAACCCGTGCAATTGTAAGGACGCCCTCATTATGTGGAGTCATACCTACCTGTAACCCGTGCAATTGTAAGGACGTCCATTGTGTTCACATATTTTATCGTACTCTTCAAAGCCAACGTGTCTCTCTGTACTGTAGGTGTATTTCATAGTTCTAAACAAACAAAAGAACAAACAAACAAATGCAATAACATGGTTCTTAAGGTAGCGGGACTATTATTTGCATACTTGTTTTCATCTTCTGATTGTGACTAAATGACTACAAATAGACCCGGAAAAGTATATATTTTTAGAATCGCCAGATTTCAAGCTTTTCACAAGTGTATTTTGCATGCCGGTATCTGCATTCTACGACGCGTTACTCAATCAAAGGTGAAAAAATACTTTTTCTGTAAAAAAAAAAATACGCATTTATGCTGGTGATAAGA